ATATATATATGCAGATGCAGCAGTCTAATGAACTCAACGCAGTCTAATGAACTCAATGAGCTCATGAAGATGAGATTTAACTCTGGCTGAATGAGGGCCTGTCTCATGGTTTGCATACTGCTGGTTTACTCACCACTCCTCGATAGGTGGGTGGGATAACACCACTGTAAAGGGGAACAAAGCAGCTGCAAATAAGGGCCTGTAACAAAAAAAAAAACACAAATTCAACTTTATCTAAACCATAAAATGTCATCAGGAACGAGAAACTGAAATATTTCTTTTAGTTTGTGTAATTTCTCTTCTTGGTCCACTAGTTTGTTTTATTTCTAGATCCCTAATGTAAAAGTAGCCATGTGACCTTAAACTGCTGCTGTGTCCTCAGTACACCAAACTTCCTCCCGACAGTTAACTCCTACCTGAATGAGCTCTTCTCTGCTGTCAAACTGTGACACCAGTAAGTTCTTCCCATCAGACACTCTGGTAAGAGACACACAGAGCTTTCCAGAGGCTCGGATGTGAGCGTCCTCTGGAAGTTTCCCCAGCAGCGAGTCCTGAACTATCTGCAGCAGGTGTAAGCTGGGTGAAGGGGTCCCAGGTGGTGCTTTCGGGCCTCTCTGGCCATGTGCATCAGATCAGTACGGCATTTACAGTATCTGCACACACAAGATAAGGCAATTACACTGAGCACAAATATAAAGACAGCCCTTCTGTTTTTGTTCCCTCAAAGATCTAAGACATTTTCTATGTACACAATAGACCTTCAAATATTGTCCAGAAATGTGTGTAAATCTGTGACAGTGAGCACTTATCTTTGCAGAGATAATCCATCTCACCTTGCAGGTGTGGCAAATTAAGATGCTGATTAAACAGCATGATTATTGCACAGGTATGCCTTAGGCTGGCCACAAGAAAAGGCCACTCTAAAATGTGCTGTTTTGCTTTATTGGCGGGGTCTGAAAACCAGTCAGTATCTGGCGTGACCACCATTTGCCTCACGCAGCGCAACACATCTCTTTGCAAAGAGTTGATCAGGTTGTTGATTGTGGCCTGTGGATCGTTGGTCCACTCCTCTTCAATAGTTGTGCAAAGTTGATGGATATTGGCAGAAACTGGAACACGCTGCTGAATACGCTGATCCAGAGCATCCCAAACATGTTCATTGAGTGACATGTCCTGTGAGTATGCTGGCCATGCAAGAACTGGGATGTTTTCAGATTCCAGGAATTGTGTGCAGATCCTTGAAGCATGGGGGCCATGCAGTATCATTCTGCAACATGTTGTGATGGTCGTGGATGAATGGCACAACAATGGGCCTCAGGATCTTGTCACAGTATCTCTGTGCATTCAAAATGCCATCTATAAAAAGCATCTGTGTTCGATGTCCATGATATATACCTGCCCATACATAACCCTACCGCCACTCAATCCACAACGTCGACATCCCACACAATGCCACGCACGCTGTCTGTCTGCCTTCAACAGTGAAAACTGGGAAAACTTCTCCAATATGCCAGTTGCCATTAAATCAGAATCAGAATCAGAATACTTTAATGATTCCTGGAGGGAAATTGTAATTATTACAGCTGCAGCCGTTCAAGTAAGCATTAGAGATAAAGTATAAAGGAAGAAATGTTCGAGCACACAAGGAAGAAATAAGTCTAAAAACTCTGGAGAACCAAATGAACACTGAACAATGAGCATTCTTTAGCGTCTATACAGTTAAAATAGAAATAACAACAGTGTAAACAGAAATAACAACAGTGTAAATAAAAATAACAATGGTGATATACTCTAAAGCTAAAAACAGTATGACTGATGCAAAGGTTCCATCAGATATCATTTAATGATATAACAATAGGTGATGATAATGATATTGCACATGTTAGATTAAGGTGTTGTAGATAAATAAATTACACAGGTGTATTAAGGTGACAGATGACTAATGGTTTCACATGTTTCGTGCGGAGTTATAGAGTTATACATTGAATGTGAGCATTCACCCAGTCATTTATGAAGACATATTGCAGTCAGGTCAAGACCCCAGTAAGGATGACGAGCAGTTTGTACAGAAACTCTTTGGCTGTTTGTCCAGGTGGCTGGTCTCAGACGATCTTGGAGGTGAACATGTTGGATGTGCTGGTCCTGGGCTGGTGTGGTTACACCTGGTCTGCCATTGTGAAGCCAGTTGGATGTACTGTCAAATTCTCTGAAACATCTTTGGAGACGGCTTATGGTAGAGGAATGAACATTCAATTCATGGGCGGCAGTGATTGTCGACCAAAGCTTTTGTAGACCCTAATTTGTATTTTAGCTTGAAATTTTCTCTTCAGAACTGGAGAGATCTTTATAACTTGTCATGTCTTCTACATAAAACAGCAGAAACGAATATTCACATGTGAACAGTGGAGCTTTCTACCTTTGAAGATTTTTTTGGATCAAATTTGTGGTTTTTGCACAGTGACTGTTTGCCTGAGGCTTACTTTCAGTCTGCACTTCTGTCTGCTTCTTGGCAGTTGGGGAGTGAGAGACACATCTGTGTGGTTCCCATAGTAACCAAAATGAGCCACTGGCAGAAGCTTTAACATCTTTATACAATGAAATTAAGATACTTTCTCTGAGCTCAGATTGTTACAAAGTTATGTTGGACTTTTGGAAACCCTTCAAAATTTCTTGTAATTGTAATTCTTTTGATTGTAATACACTTTTTGTCTCTCTAGATGTGAGCTTAAAATGTTTATTGTACATGATTCATTCAAAAAGAGCCCCTCCAACTCACCAAGAGGCATTCCCAACGTGATGACAGCAGCCATCAGAGCTCCTGCTGAAGCTCCATAGATCTTCACGGCATCTCGTGTGAAACGAGGGAACCTTTCCTGGAAACAGCTGGTCCCACTAATGTAATAAATCCCCATAAAACCACACCCTGCCAAGGAGATGCTCCACTCTTCCTTCACATCCAACACTTTTTCCCAGAACTAACTCACTCACAGCAAGACTGTAGGGATTTTTGAAGTAAATTTTCACAGAGCAATTTTCTGGAATGTTTAATGAAGTTTATTGCCAGCAATCATTTTTATGACACACCCACATGTGTCAGCATCCAAAGGTGGAAAGAACAACAGCTCCAGATGTTGAGCAAGAAGCTCCTTCCGTCTGCATTGGTTGGAAAATGTCACATGGTTGACAGCTCGCTATGCTGGGAGTTTCTTTCATCTCTTGTGTTTCATTCATTTGTTGAGTGGTGAAGTCACCTGAGCTACAGTCTGAGTCTCTAGTAGGGGGCAGCAAAACCCTGTGATCCTAAAGAGCAAGAATCAGGATCATGGTGTACATCCAGTAAAGCTATTTTAAAAACATCAGTGTATAAACCCTGTCCTGTTCACTCTGAGCTTGGTTTGTCTGAAACTGGTTACAAGATCACCTGTTGTTTATTCCATAAACAAACCTGTGCTTGTAGGGATGGAGTCAGAGCTTTATGCAAGGGGTGGCTAATGCTTTTTCAGGGGGGCACATATAAAGGAAACAACTCAGTTCCTCAAACCTGGTACCTCTAAGGATTAAACAACTTCTTCAGCTGGTTTGAAGATAATAACACTACAACACCTAGAAAAGCTATGGTCAACCCAGACAGCACAATACTTCAACTGGACCCAGCGGATGTGAGGAGGACCCTACTCAAGGTGAACCCTAGGAAAGCTGCAGGTACAGACGACATACCCAGACGCGTGCTCAGAGACTGTGCTGACTCACTCACTGACGTCCTCGCAGACATCTACAACATCTCTCTGAACCAAGCCTTCATACTAGCAAGCTTCAAAGCCACCACCATTGTACAGTACCCAATAAGTCACCGGCAACGTCACTCAATGACTACAGACCCATAGCACTCACTCCCATCATAATGAAGTGCTTTGAAAGTCTGGTAAAGGCCCACATAACATCCATGCTCCCCACTACTTTGGATCCATATCAGTTTATACCACCCCAATCGCTCTACTGATGACGCCATAGCAACAGCACTCCACCTCTGCCTGGTTCATCTGGAGAACAAAAACAGTCAAGCATGGTTGCTGTTTATTGACTTCAGCTCTGCGTTCAACACTGTCATCCCACAACACCTGTTGAACAAGCTGAGTTCAACAGGCATCAGCACGTCACTGTGCAACTGTCTGCTGGACTTCCTAACAAACAGACAGTAGACAGTCAGAGTTGGAAACAACTCCTCAGTGACCAGCATCATAAACACCGGGGTGCCGCAAGGATGTGTACTATCTCCCCTGCTTTTCACACTGATGACTCACGACTGCAGTGCCAGATTTGAAACAAATCACATCATCAAATTCGCAGATGACACGACAGTGGTGGGCCTCATCAGTGACAACGATGACTCAGCATACAGAGAGGAGGTATATCAACTCATCAACTGGTGTGACAGAAACAACCTGCTACTCAACGTCAGCAAAACAGAAGAAATAACTGTGGACTTCAGGAAAGAAAAGCCTACTCACATCCCACTCATCATCAATGGCAGTGCTGTGGAGTCTGTGAAGAGCCAACCTCCCCACATCATCTCTCACCATACAGGGGTGCCATTGAGAGCATCCTGACCAGCAGCGTCTCGGTCTGGCACAGCAGCTGTCAAGCTGCAGACAAGAAGGCACTCCAGAGGGTGGTGGGGACGGCAGAAAAGATCATCAGGGACCTCATGCATAATTGCGCAGCTTTCACACTAAAAGTTGACGTACGGCCAAATTTTGAAACGTGCGCCGCACCAAAATATTCAGATGTATAAAACCATGGCATATTCCTGCGCTCATTTCCTTTATACATCCCAATGAACGTGGAACTTAGTGCACGTGAGGCACCTCCCCTGACACGCCTCCATTTAAACATGTAAAATATATGTAAATGTGTCCAGCCTGTGAGATTCTCCTCCGATTGTCCTCTCTGTGGGATCTGAAATTATTTTTAGATGCAGGAAAAATATAAATTAAATGGAGAATGAGTTAGAAAACTGTCTAAATAAGGAGTGGGGTGACATTGTTTTATGTGGCACATTTGCACGGGATAACCAAAGCCTGAGATTTTCCTGAAATTTACAGACATCTCCGAATGTGAAATTAAAGCCTGGTTAGTTGTTGTCTATTTAGTTGAACACAGTGTTGAACGGACGTTGAAAAACTAAACTAAACTAAAAACAAATAAAAGAAACATCAAGTTATCCTCCTTTTCCTCTCTCCTTTCCTCCTGCGTTACAGCAGGCGCTGTCATCTCCACAGACCCCCACCRCACTGCCACGCACGGGTACGAGGGGTAACTTGTGGATTTTTAGCAAAAAATATAGATTTTTGAGGCTCATTAGACAGGTAAGTGTCCAAAGGGGTTGACATATATGAACAGCTTCCCAGCTGGTGAGGCTGCACGTACGCCTGGCATGAGAATCTACCCAAAGTGCAGCTGCTGCGCTACGGCCACAACTCAGCTCAGCATCAGCCAGAAGGTTACACACAGAAAAAACAATTATTCTTACCGTAGTGAGCCACCATTTGCATCTGATTTTGCTACAGACTTTTATTTATTTTATGCCGCACGTAATGTGTCGGGTTTGTCCGGCCCGGGACCCAAAAGGTTTTCAATTATGTGACAAAAATATAAAAACAGTTTACAGACTGGACTGAGGTTCTTTTGATCACTTTTAGACTGATCTATTTTCTTGTCTGAGGTTAAATGATTTTCAGTCCCGGGGTTCAGTTTCATGATCGTTCGAGTTTAAACAATAAAAACTCAAACTAAAAAAAAAAAATCTGACACCGTGTTCAGACGCTCCTTACATCCAGAAAACACAACAAAGTCATATTTCTGTGGATTCAGGTCAGATTCGTGACTTTGTGGGTTAAAACTGTCGGCTGAAAAACTGCGTGGCTGCCACACATTCTCAGGGCAGGTGAAAACGTTGGTTTTTATACATCACAACTTGGGCGTAGAACCTGGCGCACACAACTTTTTTATGCGTGCGCACCGTTTATACATGAGGCCCCAGAGATCACCTCTCTGGTCATTAAGAACCTCTACACTTCACACTGTTCCAAGAGAGCGATGTGCACAATGAAAGACCTCACTCACCCAGCTCACAAACTGTTTTCTCTACTGCGCTACCGCAGCTTGCGTGTTGTACAACCAGACTGGAAAACCACAAGCCATTAGACTCATCAACACAATGAAGAAAAACCAAAAGAACATTTCAAGGATACTAAAAAACATTTCATAAACATTTCTTTCTCAGCACCACTTGCACCTTACTCTTTGCACCATGCAAATGACATCCACATTACCTCACATAAGCTATATTATGTTTACAACGTTATGTCACTTTATCTGTACAATAAATTACCTCACATTATCTGTATTATGTTTTACAACGTTATATAATATCACTTTCTCTGTACAATACATTATCTCACATTATCTATATGCCCACTGATTGTACCTCTACTGCTGCTGCGGTGTGTGTGTGTGTGTGTGTGTGTGTGTGTGTGTGTGTGTGTGTGTGTGTGTGTGTGTGTGTGTGTG